GTTACATCACTGGTGACCCTAAGGTACACCTTGTTAGCAAGTTACATCACTGGTGACCCTAAGGTACACCTTGTTAGCAAGTTACATCACTGGTATGCGGCCTCAGCGGCACACTTGGAATAATATATGCATATGATGCATGTCATACATTCATTATTTCATTAACTCAACATTTGACTTATTACAGAATTTCATTTAGTACATCATGTCATCATTTTTTATATTTTTATAATCACAGCTTGTCTCAATAGTCCATTTTTTAGGTCTCATGTCTTTTGTCCGTATTTCACATAGTCATGTCATAAATACTCCTCATAAGGTCCGCATAGGAATTCACAAAGGACATTCTTATTCATATTAAAACTTATTCATTGTTAATGACGTAATCATTTATTATTTCCAACAAAGAATAAAGTAGAGCAACCAGAAAATAGTATATTTTTTTCATTATTAAAAAATATTCTCTATCAAATATAAGAATAATCTTTTTCAAAAATTTGACAGATATCAAATAAATTATAATAAATTAAATATATATATATAAATATATATACTAAGATTTATTTCAATTAATAATTCATAATTTATGTTACAGTTAAATAAAAAGCAAAAATTAATATCTTCTTTGGATTAAAAGAAAGTAATCTACTGTGTGATAAGAAAGTTTTTTCCTTGTTACTTATTGTAATTATTAATTATACATAGTATAATTAGTATAAAAGTGATATCTTCTTTACTTTGTATTAATTTAGTTATTTATTAAATATTATAATTTTTTTATCAATTTATCAAATATTATATAAAATTAAGTTTGCTAATATTAGAAAATATTATATTATATTAATTAAAATGTATTTATTAAAATTAAAAAATATAATAAATATTTATTAATATATATTACCTTTTCATATCAATCCACTTAATACATGTGATTATAGTGAAATACACAAAAAAAAAATATTTAATGCTTTAATATAATCTACAAAGCAATGCGAAAAACTGTTGTATCGTAGGAATTTGGAAAAAGGGACACATCATTTGAATAAAATAAAATAAAAATGCTCATAGATTTTTTGGACTTACATGTAATATTGATAAATAAATGTTATTAAATGGCCTGATAAGTAAATAGATATACCCACTAACATATTAATAAATTATGATATAATGTGTACTAATTCTAAAAGAATGTAGGTTGAACTTTAGTTGATGTGAAGGTTTTGTTATAGGTAGTTTGTAAGTTTTTTATAAACTTATAGAACCTTGAAGTTTGCTTTGTTTCTAAGGAACTCTCGGAACCCAATTTTCCTAGACTTATCATACAGCCGCAAAAAAAAAAAAAAAAAAAAAAAAAAAAAAAAAAAAAAACACTACAATCACTAAAAAAAACTGATATGTAGTGATATTCTTAATAGACACATGTTACTTGTTATTCAATTTTATTTTTACCTACATTATATATATATATATATATATATTGATATATATATTATTAAAAAAATGTAAATATGATTTAATGACAATATATATTGCTGAATCTACTTCAAAATATTAAAATTATGTATAGATATATGTTAAATATATATATACATATATATATTATACATATATATATATATATTATTTATAATAATTTTTTTATTTAATTGTATGTATTTTTTTATTTATATGTTTATCTCTTTAATCAGTATCGACCGGTGTCATATACATCATATTTCTTTTTGCATCAACCCACATTGGTAAAGAAGTCTTTATATAAGTTTTGTATGGATAGTTTTTTTATACACAGCCTCAAGAAAAAAACATGAAATGAGATTATTTATAAATTAAAATAAACTTTATTATATTAACTTATTTAATATCTCATTTTTTATTTGTATAAATTAATTTTAATTTATAAAAAAAATATTATTTCATTTTTCATGGACATATTTATGAAAAATTTATCCAAATATATACATAAGGTCAGTTTATACTTTACATAAGCATCTCCATAAGTACTTATAAATAATAAAAAAATAATAATAATTTTTTCATATGATAAAACCAATTTATACGTAAATTAAAAATAATATTTTTAAAAAATAATAGAACAAAACCTCTATTAATTAGATAATATCTATATCTATCTCTCTCTCTCTATATATATATAATGAGTTAACTTTAATTTATAAAAATACTTATTTAATTTTTCTTTTATATAAATACTTCTGAAAAAAATTATGGAAATATACACATTGTGATAAACACGAGTTATAACTTGGTGGGCTTCACATGGCAAGCCAGTCTAAATATTCTTCCATGACCAATTAGTCAAAACGTAGGACTATGAATACCAGTGTCATGTGCGACAATTATTAAGAGATCCATGCAAATCTCATTCATTGACAAGCTAGTCACATGACCGAACTTTCATAGATTTGCCAACAAAAAAACATAAATTAATTCCATATAACGTATATGCAGGAGTCCCTCTATATATATACTAGGCAAAGTCTTGAGTTAATCATATTTAGTTTATTTCCCGAAACACTCTTTAGAATAACTATTCATAAAGGAGAACGATTTTGAATACAAATTCTATTCACATAAACAGTAGTACAAAATAACTAAAGTTAGGTTTTATTAACTTTTCTGAGACACCATTACACATTCAGATTAAGCAAAAACAGAGGTAAGCCATGACATATTAGAAATACTAGTACGTAAACGTTGATTTAATTACACGTCACCGTCGTAGCAAAAACCAAAACCCAAAGCTTACACTGCAAACACTTCGTCGTCCCTATTTATAAAAGGTGAAAAAAAAAGGGGGTTGATCGAGATGGACGGAGAGGATCAGTTTCGGGAATTGGTGGTATGACCGAGGCGAGTGATGAGATACAGCGCGTTACTGGTGAGCATGGCCACGTCGGTGAGCCTACGCTTGAACTCCATCTTGAGGCTCTCGGGGGCGGAGCTGAAGCCGTCGAGGCAAGCGTCGCCGTTGGTGAGGGCGGCGCTGGTCCACGTCTGGGCGTTGCTCATCTGCCACTGGAAGGTCGGGGCGTGGAGGTGCTGCAACTCGTTCAACGTCCTGCTCAGCTGAGTGACCGAGTCAGAGACCTGGTTGACGCAGTCGCTGAGCGCAACTCGCTGCCTCTTCCCGAAGGTGCGTGACTTGAGCGTCCTGAGGTAGAGGGAGAGGCTGCGCGTGCGCCCCAGGGTCACCTTCACGCCGGCTTGTGCCAGCTCCAAGGGCTTCGCCGAGCTGTTGGAGAAGTTCGAGAGGGTTTCCACGCAGAGGCTGGGGTACCTGGCCTGCGCGCACCATGACCGGAGCGGGTCTCGCGCCGCCCTGGCCGCGGCGGCGCTTGGTGCACACAGCAACAAGAGAAAATAAGCGGAGAGTACTGTGATGGCGAGAGTGTTGGTTTGCATTGTATGAGAAAGAAAACAGAGGAAGGAGAGTGTAATTAGTTTGTGAGTTTTGGAAACTTTGGGTAAGCCAAGGTGGCTCCTTATATAGGCCAAATACCACTACGTACTCTCTATTCTCTAAGTCAATGCTAACGATTTCAAACCACCATGCATGTTGATTTTTTATTGGTTAATGGTTGCACTTGGATTACCATCACACTCTTTTTTTATACCAAACTGATCTTTAGACACCATGTAAGGAAAAAAAAAAAAAAACACGTAAACAATACTCTTGAAAAAGTTCTTTTCTCTTTCTTCAAGTGTTCTACATGAAAACATTGAGGTAAGGAAATAATTAATCAGGAAAAAAAAAAAAAAAAGGAAAGGAAAACGGGTGTTACTATTGGCTGTCTCATGAAATTGGTGTCCAAAAATCAGAATCCTATTTTATACTATCAATTATTACTTATATAGATTATGGTATTTATACTTTTTTAAGTAGTTTTAATAAAAAATAATATTTAAATACTATTTTTTAAGACTAATTTTAAATAGCCAATGTAGTAAAACAAGATAAACATATAACCTTATTTATCAAAAGTCCTTAACACAAGTGCTTTAGATTTTAATCTCTATTTTAGACATGAAATCACATATAAAGATGTTACTTTACTTTTTTAAGATTAATTTGTTAAGAATAAATTATATCTCTTTATTATTTAAAAAAACTTATTTTTTAAATATTTAGTCATGATTTTATTAGTAACTAATCTTTATTGAGAATATTATTAATTGTCTTTAATTGAAATTTTCATTTTAATTAATAAAAATCTTAGACTTTCAATATCTTTCAGATTAGTAATTATATAAATAGTTTAGCTTTTATATATACATTATTACAGTAATTTTACACGGTAAATCAATTAAATATTATTTTTAATTTACCGATAGCAAAACATTTTCTTAAACAAAACGTATATTAATCTTCCTTTTTCTTTAATCAGTTGGGACATTTGTCGTACGTCAAGTTGTTAACGTAGGTCGGTGCCAATTTATCGTGAATATATTTTTTTAACAGCAGTTTTTCGTGAACTTCAAGATTACGGAAAATAAATTTTTTATTAACACGCTAATATTTTTTTATTTCTTACCTAATTGATAGGATCAAATCAAAAAAATAGTATCTTAAGATGCATTCTTTTTTAACTTATCATGTAAAAAAAAAAAAAACGTGTATAACAAAGGAGAACGTATTGCCTTCATATTGTTATAAATTGTTATAAATAATAAATGTAATAGATAAAAAAAAATGATATTCATGACAAACCCACATTATAAGAATGTGAGTGTGAAAATGTACCCTCACTACAAAAATTACGTTATATCAATGTTTAATTAAAAGTTTGTCTTTTATATATATATA